AAAACATGTCTCATCCTTTTTTGGGGGTGGGGGTACCAGGGATTGAACTCAGGGGCACTCACTCACTGAGCTGAGCCGCATTCCCAACCCTATTTTGTATTCTAGTTAGAGACAGGGTCTCGCTGGGGACATAGCTCAATTGACAGAGTGCTTGCCTTGCATGCACAAGGCCCTAGGTTCAATCCCCAGCATAAATAAATAAATAAATAAATAGATAGATAGATAGATAGATAGATAAATAAATAAATAGCTATAGAGACAGAGTCTCACCGAGTTGCTTAGCACCTTGTTTTTGTTGAGGCTGGCTGTGAACTCTCCATCCTCCTGTCTCAGCCTCCTGAGCTGCTGGGATTACAGGCATGCGCCACCATGCCCAGCTGTCTCACTCTTGAGGTGGCCCACATTCTCCCCTGAGTGTGCTTCTGCTTTCCTGGATGAATTATCTCTGTCTGTGCCTCTGACTGACATGAACTGAAATTATTTTCCATTATGTATGTCAAGGACCCTACTGGTCTTTAGTCCATTTCCCTGCTCTCCAGGAATTCCTTGGGACCCTCTCCTGGTGGCGTCTCTTCTACAAGGACATTCTCGAGCACAACTCTACCAGCAGTCCCTGCAGTGCCCTCTAACGTGGCTCCAGGGAAACCATGTATCTCAAGGAGGCCTGAGCAGGAGCCCCCAGCAGCTGTGAGAGCTCCCAATGCCTCCTAGCCCCTGGGCTGTCTCAGCCCTGGTGAGGGGCCGGGCAGGGGCACGAGGGGGTTCCTAGGCACCCCAGAGCAGTCTCCATTCCAAGTGTGGACTCCAGTTCCCACAAGGCCCCCAAGCTCCAGCCCTCAGACAGCTGTGCACACTTGGCYCCCTTTCCTACCACCTGTGYGCTCCYCGAAAACTGYTCCCGCCTGGGTAGTGACCAATCTYAGCACCTTGTTYATTGCAAGTGCCCAYCTGTGGAGTGAAGATGGGGCAGTCTTTCAAGAGCCGATTGCCTCTTGAGAGTGGGCTGGGCTCGTAGTAGGGGTGTGAATAAGAAGGGGAGGTCTGTGATGGGGACAGTCCTGCACYTCGAAGGCACCCTGCAATGACTTGGAGCACCGTACCCACGTCACATTCCTGAAGGCTCTTTCTTTTGCTTTTGTCTTATGGAACCCAGGGCTTTTTGCATGCTAGGCAAGTGCTCTGTCCCTGAGCTGCATCCACAGCCCTGCTACATTCCTGCATTTCCTACTGTCCTGTGTGTGTGAGATGCAACCATTGGGGAAAACTGGGTGAAGGGCACTGGAGACCTCCCTGGCCCTTAGGGACTGCTTAGTATAAGGTACCCTCACCCCTTAAGCCCCTGCAGCCCTTGCATTCAGGACAGACCCCAAGCAAACATCAGAGAAACTGCATAACTGAGTGTGGTCCTGTGATCCCAGAGGGGTGATCCTCCTGTCTCAGCCTCCTGAGCTGCTGGGATTACAGTGGCTGGGAGGCTGAAGCAGGAGGATGGCATGTTGATAGTTCAGCCTCAACAACATAGACCCTATCTCAAAATAGGGTGGCTCAGGGGTTAAGTGCCCCTGGGTTCAATCCCTGGTACAAACAAAGAAACAACCCTAGAAGGTGAAATTTTCTCTGTTGAACATAAAATTTCACAACATTTTTGTTTGTCACCAGAGAATCGTTTAAGCCAGATGTGCTCTCATGTGCCTGTAATCCTGGCTAGTCAGGATACTGAGGCAGGGCCTCTAGAGCCCAGGAGCTTAAGGACAGCCTGGGTAACAGAGAGAGACCAGCTCAAAAAAGAAAAAAGAGCAGGTGCGGTGGTGCACACCTGTAATCCCAGCCACTTGGAAGGTGGAGGAGGCAGGAGGATTGCAAGTTTGAGGCCAGCCTTAGCAATTAAGTGAGGCCCTGTCTCAAAAAAATGAAAAGGGCTAAGGGTGCGTCTCAGTAGAAAGCACCTCTGGGTTCGATCTCATTTAAAAAAAAAAGAAAGAAAAAAGACATCAAGTGCAGTCCCATTCAAGCAGAGGGAACAGGCTCCACCTTGGAAGGGGTGGTGTGCTGAGAAGGTGCAGATCTGTTGAATACCTGTCTGTCCCCATAGCTCTCTGTCCCTTCATRCTGCTTGTGTTTCCTCAGAGTGAAGCCTGCGTAACATGGTCCAAGGTACCTGGCTTCCCTGCTGCGCCCAGTCCCTAGAGCGGTGTCCCAGGCGGAGCAGGTGCCTGGGAAGTGGGATGTTGGGAAGATGTCCTTCCCGAGAGTGGGAGTTGGAGATGTCAGAGAGGAGGGATTTGTGGGGGAGGAGGCCAGTACAACAATGTGGATGATGGTGTGGGAGCTGGCATGGGCACGGGGCTGGACAGAAGATCCAGTGGTGTCTCGCTGTTCTCTGGGAGGGCCTTGGGGCTCCCCCAGATCAGGGACAGAGGCCTGGCTCTAGTCAACTTCTTTGTCTGGCAGCCAGGCCTGATGATGACAGCCGCATTTCCCCGGTCCTGATGTGAAGGCAGCTCCCCAGCAGCTGGACTTCAGATGAAGGCCTATCCTCTGCCCTTGGCCATGTGGGCAGGGATGTAGAGTCATGGCTCAGTAGGCACTGAGTAGGCATGACTCTGTGCGGGTGGGGCTGTCCCTCTTCCCATCCTGTCAGATTCCTCCTCTCAAACTGGCTTCCTCTTCACAGAAATGCATACACAGGTGAATCTTGAGCCCTAGTTCTCAGGGATTCACCTCTCAGACTGGACACACAGCAAAGATCCTGATCCAGTTTCCGACCCAGTCAAGAGACGAGGGAAGAGGCTCGAGAGGCTGAGGCAGGAGGATTGCGAGTTCAAAGCCAGCCTCAGCAAAAGAGAGGTTCTAAGCGATTCAGTGAGACCCTGTCTTTAAATATAAACTACAAAATAGGGCTGGGGATGTGGCTCAGTAGTTGAGTGACCTTGAGTTCAATCCCCTCTACTCCCCCCCCMAAAAAAAAACTAAGAAAGAACCCTGATTGGTCCATTTGGGTCATATGACGACCCTTTGGCCAATTAACAGAAGTCAAGGCGAGGCTAAGGAGAGCTGTTTGGTGATTGGGCAGTTGAGGTTGAGGTTGGGGACAGCCAGAGGCATGAGGTGGGGCCAAGCTGGGAGGCCCAGCATCCTCTGTGTCCTCCACCACTGGGGACCTGTCCAAGGAGTTTGGAACAAATACTTGAGGACCTTCTGCAGGAGAGGTGGTGCCTTTGACTCTCCAAAGGAGGGGGAGCCCTGATTTGTAGGGTTTGATGAATCCCCTGGTATAAATGATTCCATGGCTAATTTCACGTTCCCAAGTGTAGCAACTGGCTGACAGATTTCTGAAATATCAGCAATAAGCTCTTCAGTGCCAGTCCAAGCCACCTCCATCCCCCACTGGAGGAGTGGGATGAACAGGTGACCCTGGAAGGATCCCTTCCCCCACCTCCGTTCTGTCCTGGAATTGCCTGAGCCCAGGCCATCCCCACAGCCTCCAGGCTCTGACCTGCCAGAGGCCACAGACTTCAAAGATGGGCTTGACCCTGTGCAGGTGGGGCTGACTCTGGGACCTGAGCACCCCCATATGWGCTGTTGGGAACAGCAGGGTCCCAAGGCACTAGATGTTCCTTCCATCGTGTTCCTCAGCCCCGGAACAGAGCAGGGTGGGAGCTCGCAGCAGGATGCGTGCACACAACTTCCGGCAGCTATTCCCTTGCATTTGAGAGAGGAGCCAAGAAAGGGAGCTTGGCAAATGCCAGGGTCCCCCTGCCCTTCCTCTCCTCCAGAGTATGATGACAGTGGGGGGAGGGGGAGGGGGAGTAGGGAATCTAGCTCTCCCCACTGCACTGCTCGGACAGACTTAGATGTGGACACCACCCTGCTTTGTCCCCCTTGGGGGCTTTTGCAGTTGAATGTGCAGAATCCTTGGTTGCTATTGGAAACAGTGATGTCAGCAGCAGGGGGCGGAGCTTCATCTGTCCTTTGAGTTTGGGAGGGGGAAGCACACTCCAGGGCTGGATGGGGACAGGGAATTAGGATCACAAGGAACAGAGGGACAAGGGAGGGTCTGGGAAGGGAGTCCTGACACACCAGAAGAGTGGCTGCGGACCCGGTGTGGAGTTCATGCAGGGCATGGGCCATGCCTAAACCAAACATGGCATGCTGGAGCCCCTGTAATGCTCCTGTCTTAACTTAGTCCCGACTGCTCAGCTCCCTTTGGCCTTGGTGTCTTCATAGCTAGTTGGATCCAGGTCCCAAGACTCTCCTAGAAGGTATGGTTGCATGATGGAGCAGCCACTGTCACTCCTTCTATTCTTAATCCTCTGGAGGGATTTTATGTCACATGGTGAAGCCCATGAGGTCTCTCTCACATTTTTGAATCTTGGGTGGAGGGGAGCCCCAGGGTCCCTCCCCCAGAAGCCTGGCTTAGGGCCTTTCCACACCCTGGGTCTCCTTCCTGTAAGAGTTAGGTCCCAAAATATAATGAACTATGGGTGAAGGCTCGTGCACGCACGCACACACACAAACCATCACGACACACACCCAGTCATGCTTACAGAGGAGCAAGGGTACAGGTGCACAACGTCACATGGATTCTTTTAACCTTCCATAGCTCGGCGCCCGCAGGCTCGAGACAGCACAGTCGCTGTCTTTGGACCCCTCTACACGCGCGCACACACGCGAGGACGCGGGTGCTCCGGTTCACGCGCGCAGCTAGTGCTCTCGCGAACGCAGGCGCAGGCTCTGTCGCGGGAGGCGCCCCCTTCGGCTCCGCGTCGGGAAGCGGGGGCGGCGGGAGGGGTAGGACGCGTTGGTCCCGCTCGCAGCTCCGCAGCTGCCGCAGTCGCCGCAGCCTCCGAAGCGTCGGGACCGGGTCTAGCAGTCCTCGCTGAGTCCTCCCCGCGCGCGGCGCTCGGGGCGGCCTTGGGTCCCGCTTCAGCACCGCGGACAGCGCCCGCCGCACAACCGGACGGCGGGCGGGCCCTCAAGTACCCGGCGCCCCCCGCCCGCGCCCGCGGGGCCCGGCGGGAGCCGGACCGCAGGGGCACCCCACGGGGCATGCACTTAGGGCGCCTTACTCGTGCTGCCCAGAACCAGGCCCGCTGTGGCCGGAGCCCATGAGCACCATGCGTCTGCTGACACTCGCCCTGCTTTTCTCCTGCTCCTTCGCCCGCGCCGCCTGCGACCCCAAGATCGTCAACATCGGTGCGGTGTTGAGCACGCGCAAGCACGAGCAGATGTTCCGCGAGGCCGTGAACCAGGCCAACAAGCGGCACGGCTCCTGGAAGATCCAGCTCAACGCCACCTCGGTCACCCACAAGCCCAATGCCATCCAGATGGCCCTGTCGGTGTGTGAGGACCTCATCTCCAGCCAGGTGCCTGCCGCCTCCCTCCTTCCCGCTCTCCTGCCATCCTCTCACTGGCCGGGTTCATTCCTTTTCCCCAACCCTTCCTTCCCCTTAAGAAAACGCAAGCAAGCCACTGGGCTTCTTCCAGGAGGCTTAGTTTCACTGGGAACAAAACACCAGGTTCTGCTGGCTTCCTCATCTTGGCTCCCAGACTGGTTACCTACTACCTTGGCAGGTCCCCAGAAGGGCTCTGGGGCTCTGTGTGCAGACTTGTGGCCAATTCGGGTGGTTTGTTTCATGGTGTCAGTGTGGGGCCAGGCGCTGGGGGAGTTGGGCAGAGGTGCGCTGCAGGTGTCTGAACAGGATGGGCCTGGGGCCATCTTTGTTTCTGCTCCTTGATTCTTTCCCTTTCTCCCTTCCCTTGGCCCCTGCCACAGGCCTGAAAGGGGAAGCATCCCAGGTGTGGGAGCAATGTGCTTGGGGGGGGGGAGTGGGGACTGCGCATGTGAGAGGCGCTGGGCACAGCATGGGAGCTGTAGGCAGCTAGCACTGCGGGGGAGGATGCGGCTCCCCAGATTTTGCTGGAGCCAGCTCCTGGCAGTCGCCTGCAGAATTCCAATGAAGCCTGAGGATCACTGCAATGCAGCCCTTCCTGTGAGAGGCAGGGCAGACTGGGCCAAGCACTGTTCACGTGCTCCCTGACAGAAGCACCAACCCATGGACACGCATGCTCACACACACCACAGGAACACATATTCAGGCACCTCAGTGTTACACAATCAATCACACGTGCCTACTGGCACACACATGCACATCTGTGGACACACTGGCATGCCCAGGTGCACATACAAACATGTGTTTACATACATGGACAAATACAGACACATTAGGCACACAATATGTACATGACATGTGTGCTTACACACCAGAAGTGCAGACATGTTGAGCATGTAAGGTACACATGTCCTGGCATKTGCTCATGAACTCCTGCACAGCCCCACAAAGCACATGTGCACCCCTGCCCATGCAAACATCCATCTGCTGCTCTGTTGGGCACCTCTGGGTGCTGACTGGAGATGAAGATGGGGGAGGGAGRAGCAGTCTGAGAACCCCATGCAGAGGCCATGCCAGAGTGTTTCTGAGAAGCTCCCCCCACCAAGAGGTGTGGTGGTGCACACCAGTTATCCCTGTGACCCGGGAGGCTGAGGCAAGAGGAGTGTAAGTTCAAGGCCAGCCTCAGCAACTTAATGAGACATTGTCTCAAAAGAAGAAATAAAAAGGGATGGGGATGTAGCTCAGAGGCAGGACACCCTCACCTCAAAAGTCACCCCCCATGCTCTAGCCCAGGAGGCCAAGGTCAGGACTRGGTAAGGCACTTGTGGCCAGTGGCTTCTGTCACGTGTTCTACCTGGGATGATGATGTGGGTGGGTGCGGTCAGGGGTTCCAGGCAGGGAGGGCCCTTTGAGGGAATCCTGTCACTCCCTTGAAGCATACCTTCCTGGGCCTGGGCCTGCTCAGCAGCCAGGGCCAGGAGAAGCTGTCATTCACAGAGCATCCGATGGGCCAGGCACTGTTAGCACAGCAGCCCCAGCCCAGTCATGTGGGCAGGTGCATGACACCCTGTCCCCATTCTGAGAAACTGGAGGACCTGTGTTCCAGAGCCCCAGGTAGTTGGGGATAGACATGGTCCCTTCAGATGTGACAGTGACATGGAGCCCTCGCATTCCTCCTGCCACCTGGGGAGGGGCTGAGGAGAGGGGGACATCCGCTCTAGGGGCCACTGACCTTGAATCTGCCCTCAGGGATGAGGTCAGCTTCAGTCAGGAATGGGCTTGTGTCATGCCACCCTATGCCCAGCCCCTGGGAACACTAGCAACAGGGCCCACAGTACTCAGTGGCAGCCCCTGACTGAACTTCCCCACAGCCCCATACAAACTACAGGGCCACCTGCCTTGCTGGACCCTGAGCTCTAACCACTTTTGACCAGGGGGAGGCTCAGCGGCTGGTGTGGGTGTCCATGTCAGCATGATGCAGGACCAGCTGCTCCCCCAGGCCACCCAGTGCACCCCATGATCTGGGCGAGGACATGAGCAGACCCAGGGAAACCTGAGAATAGGCCTCCCCCACCCAGATCTCCTGGCATGCTCAGGGCAGCCCCTTGGGTCCCTCGTCAGCAGGGCCAGGGCCTGAGGGGCCAGCTGGGCAAGTCCTGGAGCTCCCTGCATGTGTCCCTTTGGCGCCTGGAGTCTTGCTTCACCAGTCTCTATGGTAGGTTCACATGACCTACCAATGGTGAAGCCTCTTGGGTATCTGGGGTTATTTGCACATGAATAACACCACCTACCAGGCCCAGACTCTGTAGGCCCCTGGTCCCCCATGGAGCTGAACTTCTCTCCTATGTCCACAGGTCTATGCCATCCTAGTTAGCCACCCACCTACTCCCAATGACCACTTCACTCCCACGCCTGTCTCCTACACAGCTGGCTTCTACCGCATCCCCGTCTTGGGGCTGACCACCCGCATGTCCATCTACTCAGACAAGGTAAGCCCAGGTGATTCTCTGGCCCCCATATTCAGCCCTGCACGGTCCAGGGCCATTGGCTGCTGCCCCACACAGGATGGAACCAAGCACTGGGTCAGGGCAGGGCAGGGTGCTCCACTACCCTGGAGGAGCCTCCAGGCCACACACACTCACACCTGAACTCAGAGACGTCCACGCCTGCACCACAATCTGTCTCCTGTCACCTCCAAACACTGTACTCACTCACTCAACTTGTGCACTGGGGTTTGTGCTCTGGCACCCCCACACACTGTCCACATTCACAAGCACCCCATACACCACAGGCACCTGGTCCTCCCACACACATGCTTGTGCACACAGGTATCCCTGCAGTCTTACACATAGGCAGGTGGCCTACTGGGGTAAAAGGTGCCAACAGCACCCCCTCTGGGGAAGGAGAAGGCCCCGTGGGCTGGAGAAGGGATGGGCCGGGAGGCTTCCTGGACAGAGAGACTGCAGGGGGCAGTGGGAGAGCTGCGGGGGGGGTGGGTGTCCAGGAGGAAGATCCACCTGGATAGAAGGGGGTTATTCAGGAGGGCTATGGTCACCAGCCTTGCTCACCACAGGGTGGGGGTGGGAAATGGTGTGGGGTGGACAGACCAGGTAGCTCATGGCAGAAGGCTCTGTGCCTTGGGGGTGGAGGCACCCCGTCTCAGCATCCTGGAGATTCTTCAGCCACAGGCCAGGGTCAGGTCTCCGTCCAATCTGGTGCAGCCCCAGGAAGGGCAGAGAGCCCTTCCAGCCAGCTTTACAGGGTGCTGCAGCCCAGAGAGGCACAGGGGCTGACCAGGCATGCAGCCCTGGTCGGCCAGGATTCTGGGAGGTCCCACCAGCTGGGAGGCTTTAAGGGCACCACAGCCTGCAACTCATCCCCCACAGGCACAGGGCCACCCACAGACACACCAGGGAGGCCACTCACCAGAGTATTGGTGCCCAGTCCAGAGGGCCGGCTGGTTTCTGTAGCTGGACTTCCAGGCCTTCCTGTCCTCTCCAGATTCCTCCTGCCCAAAGCCCACAGTTCTCAATCAAGTTGCCTTAAGGCAGAGAGCAACCCAGGCATGTCTGAAAGGCCCCGGGTGGGTCTGCCTTCAGGAACAATGTCATGGAGACCTGAGCACCAGTCAGCATATGCTGCTGGGGACACCAAGCCTCCACCTCTCAGGGAAGGGTTCCCTGGGCCAGAGGAGGGTCATCCAGGAGGACCCCAGAGAGAGGGGGCCACACAGAGTCTGGAACAGCCACTCCTCCTGAGCTCTGAAGCCCTGCTCACTGAGGCAAACAAACTGCTCCTCACCATGCCCACGACCACGAGAAGCAAGACTCTCATCCTGGAACCCTCTGCCCGCTGCCTCTTTCCCCTCCTTGGCAACAATGCCTCACAAGCAGAGAGAGAAATGGCCCCACCCCAAAAGACAACTGCAGCAATAAGAGGTCAGAAGGGACTCCACAGACAGGGGCAGCCAGACGCCAACCAAGGGCCAGTTCCATGAGCCAAAGGTGGGGGCCAAACCTCACTGCCACAGCCTGGCCCCTCATGGTCCCAACCACAACCAGCCTTGTGCCCAGCACATAAGCCAGCAGAACCCCATTTACAATCTGCCTACACCATGTCACAAAGACAGGAAGCATGCTTGTACTTCAAAGCACTATTGCAGGCCACCACAAAGGAACCATGAACAAGGAGCCCAGAGCCTGAGAAGACCATGAGCTCAGCCTGGGCTGCAGGGACACAGAAGGGACAGTGCTCACGCGGACAGGCTCAGAGAGCCCCTGGCAGTTAGCGTACAACAGGTACAACATTGTACAACATAGTGTACAATGGAGTCAGGGCCTCTGGACTTGAAAGAGACATTAGTCCTGAGATTGAAGACTTCCTAATAAATAGTCATTGGAATTTGGCAGACTCCATGTGCAACCCAGTGGGGGTCATGTTGATGCTCACATTAGCCACAAATTTATGAGCTGAGGTGTCCCTCAAGGGAGCAAGCTTCTGGGGAGGTGATGAGCTTCCCCCAGGAACAATTTCACAGACACCTGATCTGTCAGCCTGCTGCTGGGGACACCAACCTCCACTTCTCAGACCAAATGTGGGGAGGGGGGAGGAGAAATGTGAGGACAGTGGAATAGGGACTATCCCGTGTCAGAAGGGTCACCCCAGTGCTGTGAGGGCAGAGTGGGAGATGGGGGGTCCCTGGGTCAGAAGGGTCCCCCAGGCTGTGAGGGCAGAGTGGGAGATGGGGGGTTCCCAGGTCAGGAGAGTCCCCCAGGCTGTGAGGGCAGAGTGGGAGATGGGGGGTCCCCAGGTCAGGAGAGNCAGGCTGTGAGGGCAGAGTGGGAGATGGGGGGTCCCCAGGTCAGGAGAGTCCCCCAGGCTGTGAGGGCAGAGTGGGAGATGGGGGGTCCCCAGGTTAGCAGGGTCCTCCAGGCTGTGAGGGCAGAGTGGGAGAAGTGGGGTCCTGGGTCAGGAGGGTCTCCAGCCCTTGTGAGGGCAGAGTAGGAGAAATAGGTTCCCCGGGTCAGGAGGGTCCTCCAGGCTGTGAGGGCAGAGTGGCAGACGTGGGGTCCCCAGTCAGGCAGGTCCCCAGTCTGAGAGGCAGAAGCTGGCAGACGTGGGGTCCCCAGTCAGGCAGGTCCCCAGTCTGAGAGGCAGAAGCTGGCAGACGTGGGGTCCCGAGCCAGGCGGGTCAGGTCAGGGCTGCTATGGCCTCAGCACCCTTTGCCACCCACAGAGCATCCACCTGAGCTTCCTGCGCACCGTGCCGCCCTACTCGCACCAGTCGAGCGTTTGGTTTGAGATGATGCGCGTCTACAGCTGGAACCACATCATCCTGCTGGTCAGCGATGACCACGAGGGCCGGGCTGCGCAGAAGCGGCTCGAGACGCTGCTGGAGGAGCGCGAATCCAAGGTGAGGCCCGGCCGCCGGCGGGGCGCCCCGGGCGCGCAGGAGCAGGCGGGCCGCGCCGTGTCTGTGGCTCGTTGTGAACACCTCTCTCTCCATCCTGCATGCTCAGCACCACCGCGTCTGGCGGCGCCCGCCCCGGCCTGTCCTCGGCTCATTTCACGTGCTTTTGCCATTAGTCGAAATCTCCTTCGTGTCAGTCCCTGCGGGGCGAGGGCTGAACCACCTGGAGCTCCGCAAACACCCCTGCCCCGCCCCTCCGCCGGCCCGCAGGCCCCTCGCCCCAGGAAAGTCGGCCAGCCTGCCCTCCCACCCGTCCCGAGACCCAACCTCTGCCCTGGGGCGGCTCACCAGGGTGGTGGTCACCCTGCCATGTCCCTTCCCAAAGAACCTGTCCCACTTCTTTTTTAAAAAAACTTTCTTTCTTTATTTTTTTTTTTTAGTTGTAGTTGGACACAATACCTTTATTTTATTTACTTTTTATATGGTGCTGAGGATGGAACCCAGTGCCTCGCTCATGTTGGCAAGCGCTCTACCTCGGAGCCACAACCTCAGGCCCCCTATCGCACTTCTTGGTGGAATCCATTCCATGTCCTTACCTCCGTTAGCCTCCTCCCACCCACTCACTGCTGCCCTCACCAAAGCCCCACCCACCAACACCTGCCAGCCTACCTGCTGCCTGGGCACTCCCCACCAGGACACCCCCGCCCAGGGCTGGGCTCTGCATGCCTGTGGGACCAATCAGATCCTGACCCCAGAACACACTGACACCCCAGCCCAGCCCAGCCCTCCTTCTGTGAGAGGGCCAGAGAACAGAGCCAGGATTTCTGGGGGTCTAAGTGACCCCCTCTTGCCTGGCCACGCCTGTGGCCAGCCTGAGGAGGATCTGGTCGGGGGTCACCTCTACCCATTCCCAGAACCCTGGGCACTGAGCAGAGCCTGTGACTCTGGGATCAGGCAGGAGGGAGGAGGCCCAGGCTGGGAGTCCCAGGAGCCAGACGGGATGGGGCATGTTCTGTCTGTGAAGTCAGAGCTGGCCTCCCCACACTTAGTGCAACCTGGGCTCCCTAAGGCATCATTGCCCCCAGAGCAACTAGAGGGTTTGGGTGGGGGTGAGGCCAGAGGTAGAGCCAGAGGGTCCTGGGGAGGGGTCCTGTCATGGGGGACTGCTAAGTCTGGGAGGGAGGGCTGGCTACAGATTCAGAGGGCCCAACCGTGCCCATAGGCATCTCCCCTCCTGGCATGCCCACCCACGGCCACATAGGCTTCTCCATAATCACACACCTGTGTGCCCAGCCACCTGCCTGCATGTTCACAGGTACACCACAGTTCCCTGGAAAGATCCAAACTCCACCTGCCTCCACACACCTCCATGTGGTCCGGGAAGGGCATGCTCACTTGGACACACAAGAGTGTCCTCTTCGTGTGCACTCTCCCTGGCACACACCCACTCACTCACACACATGTGCTCGGTCAGTCCTGGCCCTCCCCCTTCCCCATCCCCATCGAGGATTCCCATGCAGATGCCCATGGACACAGGTCACCCCGCAAGGACACATGCACACATATCCCATATTGCTCACTCTTGGGCGCACATGTGGGCTGTTGGGCTTGGGCACACAGTTAGTGAAAAGAGAACACCTCAGCCTTCAGGGGCAGAAGGGAGGACAATGGGGGGGAGTGGGAGGGACATGGGGCAGTGCCCCAGGGGCTGCTTTTCCCTACTCAGGGTGGGTACTGCTGGGGCCACACAGCAGGTGCATGGCAGGGGTGGGGGCGGCAGGCGGGACCCAAAGAGTGGATGCGGACAGGGCCTCCCTTCCTCCTGAGAGTAACCGTTCCAAGAGCACAGCTCCGTGGTAGGGAGCCTCTGTGGCAGGAGCCTCTGTGGCCCCCGCCCCCGTGCCCCTCTGTCCCCAGTTCCAGCCCGGCCCCAGCCCCGTCCCGGGCCTCGGTGTTTGCGAGCTCCAGGTACGTGCCCGTCTGCAGACGTGCCGAGGAGGTGGTGTGATTGCTTTAGCGCCGTCATTTTCAACCGTTTATAATCTTCTTCTGTGTCTGCATATTTTCTCTGTGCACATTATTCATCAGAGTAAAAAAAGGAACTATGAAAACCTCGACCAACTGTCCTATGACAACAAGCGCGGACCCAAGGTATATATGCATGGACGTGCACGCCACCCACCGACTAGCCAGCCCCGGCCTGCGGCTCCTGGCCACTAGGGCCGCTGTCTGGCCCCGCTGTGCCGAGCCGCAGGCCTGAGCAGTGAGGACAGCCAGGTCGTGAGGCAGCAGCAGGCAGGCAGGAGAGGGCAGGCGTGGGCAGCCTGGGTGCCCACGGCCCACCGCTGTGACCCTGGCCTGCATCCTCGAGGCAGACACGGCCGCAGGAGGAGCTGCTCTCTGGGAAGTGCATGCGAATCTCCAGGACCCCCAGGGTTTCCTTGAGGAACCCTGGAAGGGAGCCCACCCACCTGGCCTCTGCTGGGTTCCGGCTGCTCCTGCAGGGGCCTAAGGAATGAGGCCTGAGCTGAGAGGATCTCCCGCGGTTTTGGAAAAGTCGGCCCCATCTCCATTCCCGGGTGCATTCCAAAACTCTTTTTATTTCCTGTCCGCTGCACGTCTCTTCCTGAATCTTGGTCCACTTCAGCTTGCATGCTCAGTGCAAAAGTGAGGACAAGAGTGAGGTGGAGAGAGAGCTAGAGGAAGCAGAAGGAGAGCAAAGAGTGAGTGCAGGACGGTGAGCAGGCTGAAGAACGGACAGGAGGAGAGGCCAGGCCAGACCCCGAAGGAGGAAGGCAGGTGGACAGTACAGGTGGCAGACGCAGGCCACGGCAGCTCTAGCTCAGCTGCCTTGGGGTTCCTAGTGGCTTCGGCCCCCCCCTCTCGCCACTGAGGTGGTATGTCCCCTGCCCCAGCTGCCTGCTAACACTCCTGCTCACATCGCAGGCAGAAAAGGTGCTGCAGTTCGACCCTGGGACCAAGAATGTGACAGCCCTGCTGCTGGAGGCTCGAGAGCTGGAGGCCCGGGTCATCATCCTCTCTGCCAGGTGAGGCTGGACTGCGCCCTCTCACATCACTCAGGGCTGTGCCTGGGCCGGAGCCCACCCTCAGCCAGGGCTGGGCACCCATGGGCAAAGTGAGCTTCAGCCTCCAAAACACCTTCACAGAGGAAAACCCCTTCTCACCTCCCACACCTGGTGAGCTGGCCACTTCCATCTGCCCACCCCCTCCTGGCCCTCTCCCTCCATAGCCACATGTGCCTGCTGTCTCTGAACTGAACTTGAGGTGAGGGATGAAGACTCCGCCCTTAGGAATCCCAAGACTCATGGAGGACACACATGCAAACACCTTGAGTGACATGCAGGTGGGCAGGTGAGCCCAAGTGGCAAGGCCCACACAGGGAGAGGGCCGCCACTGCCAACTGAAGGATCAGAGCAGCTAGGACGAGAAACCAGGTAGGGAACTGTGAAAAACTGGCTGCACCTACATAGGCCAGCCCCACACAGTGCCTCTGGAACAGTCCCTCAGGGGACCCGCCCTAGTTGCAGATGACTAGGTTCTCCTGGGAAGGGAAAGAATWGGTCACAGGGGCCTGCGGCGGGGGCTCAGCCGCGGAGCGCTCACCTACCTAGTACACGTGTGGCCCTGGGTTCCATCCTCAGCACCACATACAAATGAATAAGTAAAAGTATTGCGTCCAACTACAACTACAAAATAAATATTTAATAATAATAATAAAAAGAATAGGTCACCAGGGACAGGAAAGGAAGCCTGGGAAGGATGGCAGCCCTGTCATGGACAGCAGGGGCCCTGGTGGACCCACTCTCTGTCCACCCCAACCTGAAAGCTCTGCTGGGAGTGGAGAAAAACAGCAGGTCCTCAGGCCCAGAGGAACGCACCCAACCTGCCGTCCTATGGCAGGGAAGGGCCAGCGACACCCAGTCACAGGACAAGGGTCTGTTTGCACATTTGGTCAACAAAATCTTTGGCACGATGCCCGCAGCACTCCACCCACTATCCACAGACAGGTGGGGCCAACTAGGGCTCCTCAGGCCATAAGGTAGGACTTACCCCTCCCCAGATGGCAGGACTGGGGCCAGGGGTCCCACTCCCAGCGAGAAGGCAGAAGCTGGGGCTCATACTGCCCCTGGCCTCTCCTTTCTGCAGAGCTGTGGCAGACAACAGTGACTCCCCACTGCACTCTGGATTTTACAGTGGCCAACCTAGACCTCGGAGTCAGGGTCACTTGCCTTTGCCTTGAATGCAACTATGGGCACCTATGGCAGGCTAGGGTTTCCTGAGAAAGGATGAAAGTTGGGCCCAGGCAAGGGGGCAGAGCCGCAGAAACCCCTCTGAAGGAAAGTCACACCCGAGGGAAGAACCCTTCCCCACACAAGCTTTGCCCAACCCAGGGAAGTCCTGCCCTGGTAAGCCCCGCCCAGGGAAAGCCCTGCCGGACCCTCCTTCTTCTTTTCCTTCAGTACTGGGGATTGAATCCAGGGGCTGAATTAACACCATTGAGCTATATCCCCAGCCTTTTAATTTTTTTTATTATTTATTTTGAGTCAGGGTCTGGCTAAGTAGCCCAGACTAGCCTTGGACTCATGATCCTCCTGTGTCGACCTCCCCAGTACCTGAGATGACAGGTCTATGCCACTATGTCCTGCTCAGACCCTCCTATTTTCTGATCCATTTGCTCTTCTTTTCCTCATTGCAGGATTCAAGGGAGGTTTGGTGGGTGTGATGGAACAGAAGGCTAGGTGGGCATGCCTGTGACCCCAGAGCTCAGGGGCCAAGGCCGGAGACCACAAGCTCCAGGCCAGCCTGAGCTAATTAGCAAGAACCAGTCTCAAAATAAAACAGAAAGGACTGAGATGAAGCTCAGTGGTAGAGTGTCCCCTGAGTTCAATCCTCTAGTTAGTGGACAGATTAGAGCAAGCTCAACTACCTGATCCATACCTTGTAACTGGGGTGACCAACAGGACCCAGACCAGAGAACCACATGTAACACTGATCCACGGAACCTCTTCATCTAGGTCACAGCAGAGGAATGGACACTTTCTCTGGGTTTTCTCTCTGGTAAATGGTCCCTGGTACCACCACTGCAGCCACAGGGAATTCCCTGTCTTGGGACACAGGCTGCAAGGGGCCTGTTGACAGATCCCAAGGTAAAAAACACTATGTTTTGTTAGACATAGCTCTAAGAGAAAGGCCAGACTAGGGAGGAGGACACTGTCATGCTAGACACACATACACACACACACACAAACACATGACCTTGTGCAAGCTGCACACTCACGCACATACAATGCACCTCACACACACACCTGCATGTCATACACATCCATACACCTGCACATACAAGTGCCTACCCCTCACCACACATGCACATGTGTGTACACATGTGCACATGCACCACACACATACCCCCACATGCCCCACATCACACATGCACACATGGACAGGCATGTGTACCACTACATACACCACACACACTTATACACAGGCACCCACAGAATCGCATGCCTACATCCATATGTACACCACACATACCCTCGCACACATACTCGTGCATGTGTGCGCACACCATGTTCACGCCAGGCACTGCATACACATACACGCCATGCTCTACACCTGTGCATACACAGCACACCTATCAACCACACACACACCTACGGCCTTCTTATAGAACCCAGGCAAGGCCCCTGGCCTGTCAGGGATGGCAAGGACCCTTCCGCTCACACTCTGGGCCCTTGGGACAGAAAAGTCAAAGTCCCACAGCAGAGGATCATTGACCCACCCAGCAGCACCACGCTCAGGAACACAGGAAGGCAGGGCCCAGGCAGCAGCAAGCACAGGCATTCTTGACCCTGACACCATTGTGTGTGTGTGTGGTGCTGGGGTGGAACCCCGGATCTTGGGCATGCTAGGAAGGTGCTCTTCCGCTGAGTTGCAACCCAGACACCAGTCACACTTTGGCTCCTCCTTCATGAGGGTTGTTGAGAGCAACACAGTATTGAGACCCCATTTGTGCCAGTCTTAAATTCTCGTCAGTTTTCTGTAGGATGTAGAGAAATCACTTCCCAAACTTTTCACTCTCATCAGCGCTTTCCTGAAATTCCCCTACTGGAGTCAGCTGTTTCATAACGTAGTCTGATGAGGTTTTGATGGATGGATAAGGCTTATCACTCTCCAAGTGGCACATCACAGGTCTGGATCTTCCCCAGCTGCATGGTGCTGGGCTCCTCTGATCTGTGTGCTGGCTGCCCCGCTTCCTGCCACATGTTCTTGCCTGGATCTCTGTGAGGTGCTGCTTGCAACATCAACCCAGCGCTGCCATAGAGAGCAAAGACTGAGGGCCTGTGTTTGTTAGCTAATCCTTGAGAAAATTGAGGGCAGGCCCTTCAGAGGACTGAGGATCCCCTGCTGGCTGAGAATCAGCCATTGTGAAGCCAGCCCAACCCATAGGTAATCCACCCAACCTTGCTGTATCTGCACTGTGCTGTAAAAAAGCAAAGTGTCCCTTGAAGTCCAGGCCCTACTGGGATTGGCTCAGACCCTGCAGGGAAGAGTCTGACAAGTGGAGGGTTGCAGGAGGCCCCCAGTGGGCCCAAGTCCTTGTCATGTCCAGGGAGGCCTAGCTCCAGGGGAGGGGGTCTTCTCCTTCACTGTGCACAGGAATTAACTCTGAGGATATCCCAAGAGCTCAAGACCACATGTCCCTACAAGGTGGGGCCTGCCTGGCCACCCTGACCTGTGTGGAAGGGGGACACAGCTGCTGTGCAGACCCCAGAAGTGAGAGCTGGCCCTCCTCTGCCTGGCAGCCTCTGTGGGATGCTTAGGGCAGCTTCCCTGGGGGCTGGTTCCTACCAGCGTTCAACTCAGGGAACCCCAGTCCTCTCACTTGCATATTTGAACAGGAAGAATCCGAGGAGGGGTTTGGCTTGTCCAGAAGGTCACAGGTCATGAGATCTGGGGTGGACAGTCCAGGCACAGACCTCACTCTCCCATTTACTGCCCCTGTATCCCTCAGCATCCTCCTGACAGAGGGGGTGTGCGCCTGTCCAGTAGAGGTGTGGTGAAGAGGCCTACAAAGGCCTCAGAGCGCCTGGGGAGCAGGAGTGCACAGTGATCCCTCACAACCTGGGCCACCCAGCCCAGGGCCAGCACCCGGCCAGTCCTGTAAGCAGGTGTCCAATCCCATCCCTGCCCTAAAGGCAGGTTGCCAGTGACCGGCCTGGGAGGCTCCTGCGCAGGGGTCTCCCAGCCTGGCTCTGGGTGGGGCAGGCCCAGGCTCTGAGATGCAGAATCCAAGCAGAGAGGTTTGGGTGAGAGGGCCAGAGTCCTGGCCCGTCAGCCCCGTCTGCCCCACAGTGAGGACGACGCTGCCACCGTCTACCGCGCGGCTGCGATGCTGAACATGACGGGCTCGGGGTACGTGTGGCTGGTGGGGGAGCGCGAGATCTCAGGGAACGCCCTGCGCTATGCGCCCGACGGTGAGTGCCTGGCCTCTGGGGCGGGGCAGCGGCCCCCTGCAGGCTCTAAGCCCGCCCTCCCGCAGGCATCATCGGGCTGCAGCTCATCAATGGCAAGAATGAGTCAGCCCACATCAGTGACGCGGTGGGCGTGGTGGCCCAGGCGGTGCACGAGCTGCTGGAGAAGGAGAACATCACCGACCCCCCGCGGGGCTGCGTGGGCAACACCAACATCTGGAAGACCGGGCCGCTCTTCAAGAGGTGGGCAGAGCAGCGGCCCACTCCTCAGGGGAGACCAGGGTCCACTGCTGTCCCCACCTTCCCACAACACCGTCTTCACTGCCATGGCTACTGCCCTCCTGCCCAACAAGGCCACACGTAGCTGGGCTGTCTCTGGAGTTGTGATTGTCTCCGTGGCTCCGCCCTTCCTGTCCTAGGGCAGCCACCCTGAGACTCCCTGGGGCCTCTCACTGTGGCTGGTAGCCCTTGGGAAGCAGCTCTGGCTACAAGTGGGGACTGGGAGTTTCTAGGGACCCAGGAGGTCAGAAAGGAACCCAAGGACACAGAGAGCCAGAGACCCAAGGGAGTGACTGCACACCAGGCCAGGAGCACACACACACAAGCCCCCACACAGGCACACACGTACACACAGACTCTTTACATGACACGTGTGTCACAAGTACACTCATGAGTGTGCACCCCACATGGGGCCCACATGTGCACACAGATTCATCCATTCACTTGTATGTCCCAATAAGTACGACACATGGGCACACACACAGATGGAACTGACTGCCTGGTGGTCAGAGCTGATGCCAGGCTCTGTCGGCCTCCCCACCTTGCTGGCAAATGGGCCTGGTGTCCTGGGCTTCTGCCTCCTCTGTAAAACCAGGATGGCTGCTATGAGGACCAAATGTCCCAACCCACAAAAAGCCCACCCAGGGTCTGGCATCTAGGAGCCACTCAGCTGTCACTAGCTGTGCTGTCCATCTGGTGAGGGCAGACACATGATGTCCATTATTCAGCATGAGGGTCTGTGCTCTGCTGATCTTTCCTTTCATGGGACTGGGGCAGAAGGAATGGCTTGGGCAGCTCAGGAGGCCAGGGAGAAAGAATACTGCTGTTATGTCTGAACCACGCTGCCTTCCCAGGGTGCTGATGTCTTCCAAGTATGCAGACGGAGTGACTGGCCGTGTAGAATTCAATGAGGACGGGGACCGGAAGTTTGCCAACTACAGCATCATGAATCTGCAGAACCGCAAGCTGGTGCAAGTGGGCATCTACAATGGCACCCACGTAGGTGGGGGTCATGAGGGGGTGGGGGCTGGGGCCTTAGGGTCCTGGGGCCAAGACCCCTGCGTGGCCACCCTCCATCTCATACTCCCACCCCCAGGTCATCCCTAATGACAGGAAGATCATCTGGCCAGGTGGAGAGACTGAGAAGCCTCGAGGGTACCAGATGTCTACCAGACTAAAGGTGGGGCCCTGCCAACCTGCCCCAGCATCCCCACCCAGGATATCCCATCCAACCCCCTCAGGCCTGGAAGAAAGGGCAGTAAGGTCAGCTTAAGGAAGTGGACCCGGGGCCCGCCCACTCCTGGCTGCCTCTCTACATGCCTGGCACAACAGGAGGCAAAGAACAGGCCCAGGGAGGAGAGCAAGCCCCCATTCAACAGGCTCTCTCCTGACCCATCCTGACCCAGTCCCAGTTAAGCCTGGGGAACAGCTGATGGGGACAGAGGGACAACTGGGAGGTCACTCTCTGCTCAACGCAGACCTTGGCTCAGTGCCCACTGACCTGGTCCTGTCTGGCCCTTCACACGGCTCCCTGTGCTCCAGCTGGCTTCTCCCCCGGCTCTGGGAGCACCCTCCTCTGGCTGACTTTCTCCCTCAGAGCATTGTTTCTTTGGCCTGTCTGTAGGCCCCTTTGGGCTCTCCCATGGCTCCTCTCTCCTCCCAGGTGCTGTTCCATCCCTATGCTGAGCCACACCAGCTCCTCTGGTGCCATAGGCCACCAGAGACAGAAACTTGAGTGCAATGTGCACAACTAATCTTCTCCTAGTGTCCCCAGGTTGTCAAATGTCTCTGAGTACTGTCTGATCTCTGTGCCCACCTCTGCAGCCTGGAGATAGCCCCATGACCTCACTCTGGACCCCTTTGCTATGACAGAGTGGGATGCACCACTGTGGCATCTTCCTGCAGCCAGGCACTCAGYACTGCAAAATCCAAAGTATCACTCAAAACACTTAAGGAAGCAGCTGCAGTGGACCATGCCTATGATCCCAGGCACTAGGGAGGCTGAGGCAGGAGGATCACAAGTTTGAGGCCAGCCTGAGCAACTCAGCAGGATCCTGTCTCAAAACGAAACATAAAAGGGACTGGGGATGTAGTTCAGTGGCAGAACATCCCCGAATTCAATCCCAAATTCAGCAAAAAAAAAAAAAAAATGCCAACTGTCAGAAGGCTGCATCTAGGCTGTGAAGTGCAGTGGGTATCTACAACTTTGTTTCCCATACTTATATAACAAAAAAATGAAAAAAACTTAAAAGTAAATAAGTGTCAAGCCCACACTTCAAAGGCTCACAATTCTCGCCTGCCAGGGAAAAAATCTAACCATGCCTGCAATGGAGGTGAGGCTGGGCCCTCCCACCTCCCCCAGCTTCCCAGATAAGACCTCAGCTGAGGGTACCGCTCCCACCCAATACCATGTATCCCACCCTTGCCATCCAGTCCTGCCTGATCCACCTGCCCCTCTGCCCACTTTGCAGGCTCAACTCCAAAATCACCTCCCCCCAGAGTCCTGGTCAGCCAACCCCCCACCTGTATCTCTCCCCCCATCCCTAGAGTGAGGGCCCTGAAGGACAGAGAGGCGAGAACAAAGCTGAGACCAGGTTGATAAGGACCTGGCAGAACACAGCAGCACCAGAGAGAGGCAGGGGTGGAAGACGGGGGTCAGCCCGAGGGCTGTGGGCCGTAGGCTGTGGGCCTCCAGCGGGCAGCGACCAGGAGAGGCAGGGGACAGCTTAAGGAGAGAGAGGCAGGCCCTGCGGGTCTCTTCACGGTCTTCATGGCACAATGAGGGTGGGGTGGGCTCAGGGGAACGGGAAATGTCTCCTTCCTGAGAGGCCCGGAAAGGTACCCAGTACCTGGGGAAAGGGAAGGGTGTTTGAGGAGATGCTCGTCAGGCAGGAGGTCCGGGAGTCCGAGCCAGGTGTGGCTGGGAGGCAAACCTCGTGGAAGGCTCCAGGCAGGGCCCGCCCCGGTGCTGGTAGACCGGGATTGGGAGCGGTGCCAAGGGGGCTGTGCGCTGAGAGGGCAAGGCCAGGTGGCACAGAGGGCCGGTGGTCCAGGCTGGGCCTTGTCTTCCCCCAGATCGTGACCATCCACCAGGAGCCCTTCGTGTATGTGAAGCCTACACTGAGCGATGGGACGTGCAAGGAGGAGTTCACAGTCAACGGAGACCCAGTCAAGAAGGTGATCTGCACGGGGCCCAACGACACGTCTCCAGGCAGCCGTGAGTGCTGGGCTCGGTGGGGGAGGGGCAGGACTCGGGACAGCAACCGGGACCTGCGGTGACCACCCCTCAAACCCCCAGCACGTCACACGGTGCCTCAGTGCTGCTACGGCTTCTGCATTGACCTGCTCATTAAACTGGCAAGGACCATGAACTTCACCTATGAGGTGCACCTGGTGGCAGACGGCAAGTTCGGCACACAGGAACGGGTATGCCGTATGCCGTACCGCGTGGGCAGTGGGGGCGGAGCCTGAAGCGGGATTGGGCGGAGCCTTAACAGGCGTGGCCTTAGGCGGGGGTGGGACCTGGAGTGGGAGGGGCCGCAGGCTGCGGCCCATCTGGAATAGAAGCACCCTCCGGCCCCTGTCTCCCCCGACTCCCCCCCATCCCCTGTGATGCGCTAGGCTGATCCAGGGTCAGGGCGCCTGTCGCAGAAGCTGTGCCAACCACATCGGCTCTGTCTCCCACAGGTGAACAACAGCAACAAGAAGGAGTGGAATGGGATGATGGGCGAGCTGCTTAGCGGGCAGGCGGACATGATTGTGGCACCGCTGACCATCAACAATGAGCGTGCACAATACATCGAGTTTTCCAAGCCCTTCAAGTACCAGGGCCTGACCATTCTGGTCAAAAAGGTGGGCAGGGGCTGGGTGGTGGTGGAAGGGCACTGGAAGTCCAGGCAGCACTGACCACCTGTCCACCTGTAGGAGATACCCCGTAGCACACTGGACTCGTTCATGCAGCCCTTTCAGAGCACACTGTGGCTACTGGTGGGGCTGTCAGTGCACGTGGTAGCTGTGATGCTCTATCTGCTGGACCGCTTCAGGTGAGAGCAACACGATGGGCCTGGACATCCCCATCTTTGGGGCAGACTGAACTGAACAGGAGAGGGACAGGGCTGCCTCTCCGCCTTCTCTCCCGCCTGCCCTTTGTGCCCTGCAGCCCTTTTGGCCGGTTCAAGGTGAACAGTGAGGAGGAGGAGGAGGATGCTCTGACCCTGTCTTCTGCCATGTGGTTCTCCTGGGGCGTGCTGCTCAACTCCGGCATTGGGGAAGGTGAGGTTGTGCGTGGTCCCTGTCTGCTCCATCCCTGCCTCCAGGAGCTGACCCAAACCTCTACCCCCAGGTGCCCCCAGAAGTTTCTCCGCACGCATCCTGGGCATGGTGTGGGCTGGCTTTGCCATGATCATTGTGGCCTCCTACACTGCCAACCTGGCGGCTTTCCTGGTCCTGGACCGACCGGAGGAGCGTATCACAGGCATCAACGACCCTCGGGTGAGGCCCAGTCAGGCTGGGGAGAGCCATGGGAGGCTGAAGAGGAGGGATTCTGCCTCGGGTGGGGTCTGGGGAGCAGCCACGAGCCCACCCTCTGCCGTGCAGCTCAGGAACCCCTCGGACAAGTTCATCTATGCTACTGTGAAGCAGAGCTCGGTGGACATCTACTTCCGGCGGCAGGTGGAGCTGAGCACCATGTATCGGCACATGGAGAAACATAACTATGAGAGTGCAGCTGAGGCCATCCAGGCCGTGCGGGACAAGTGAGCGGCCTGACGGGGAGGCCATCCTGGTGGGACAGGGCAGTGAGGGGAGAGGCAAAGGGGGTGTCCACTCATAGAGTTAAAATGATCAAGGAGAGTGTCCAGTTGCCAAGGCGAGGGCGTGCAAGCAGGGCAGGGGGAGCACACACGTGGGGACTCCAGTGACCCTGCTTCTGCCAACAGCAAACTCCATGCCTTCATCTGGGACTCAGCGGTGCTGGAGTTCGAGGCTTCGCAGAAGTGTGACCTGGTGACCACTGGCGAGCTGTTCTTCCGCTCTGGCTTCGGCATCGGCATGCGCAAGGACAGCCCCTGGAAGCAGAATGTCTCCCTGTCTATTCTCAAGTGAGTTTGCCCTTGCGTCTGCGGCTTATCTCCCTTCTGGATCAGGAGCTTCCCCCAAGGAGTAGGACCCCCTCCCCAGTGCCCAGTCGCTGGGAGGCAGCTCACTGGCCCTGCTGGCCAGGAACTGCTACACCACACCTCCCACCACAGTCCTGGACCAATCCCGACGCCCACTCCCAGGACGCATCCCCACCCCACCCCGCCCTGACTCATGACCTGCTGGTATGCCAGGTCCCATGAGAATGGCTTCATGGAAGACCTGGACAAGACTTGGGTTCGGTACCAGGAATGCGACTCGCGCAGCAATGCCCCTGCGACACTCACTTTTGAGAACATGGCAGGTGGGCACTTCATTCCCCTCCAGGGCTGCTCCAACACTGGGGAAGGCCATGGGATGTGGCCTCTCCACCAGCAACTGAGGCTCGGATTCCTGCTCACAGGGGTCTTCATGCTGGTGGCTGGAGGCATCGTGGCTGGGATCTTCCTGATTTTCATTGAGATCGCCTACAAACGGCACAAGGATGCCCGAAGAAAGCAGATGCAGCTGGCCTTCGCCGCAGTGAACGTGTGGAGGAAGAACCTGCAGGTAGGGCGGCCACCCTCCGAGGCCTGGCGTCCAGGGCTCGGCCTGGCCACGGCCCTCCTCCATCCCTGCAGGCTGTGGCACTGGCTCTGGCTCCAGTGGGCAGGACTGGAGCTAGGAGCCATGGCCAGGGGCAGTGGTGAGTGCTCCCAGGGCACAGGGGCAGGGGGCTGCCTGCAGGTGGCCACATACTGCCAAGCTGGCTGAGGGAGGCCATGCACCCTACTCCAAGCCTCTGCCTGACCCCTCTGTCTCCAGTCGCCTGCCAGCACCCATTCCCTAGGAAGGCAAGCAGGCAGGGTAAGACGGGCCACCTGTGTTAGCACGTGAGTTCCAGGTGCATTGGGCCTCCGGCGCCCAAGCCCCGTCCACACACTTAAGGGACCCCCTTTCCTGCTGTGTCCTTCTGCTCCGTGACTGCAACCTGAATGGGGCTGGTCCACTCCTGCCTGGTGTACCAGGCTGAATTCAGGGAACCTGCTGACAATAGGGGCAAGGCTGCATGTGGGACGGCCCGCCATGGCCCACCTGAGACGGGGCTTGGGACTGGGTGGGCCAGGGGTATGTGTAGGTCTGAGCCTGGTGGCCCTGGCTGCTACGCTCACTCATCTCTTCTCTTTCTCTGGGTGCCTTCTGGAGCTGTCCTGGGGTGACGCTGGCATTGAGGGCTGTGGGGTGGGGCTGCTGGAGCCCCACACCTCTCATCTATCCCATTCTTGCTCTTGGCCCCACAGGTCCCCTGGGGACCTAGCCACTGCTCTTGCTGGCAGGCACAGGGCCATGCTGGCCATCAGACACAAGGCCAACATCCTGGGAGCTGCCTCTGTCTATCACTCCATCTCGACACCTGCTTTGGGCACTTGGCCCCTTCCTCAATCTTGATGTGTGCCCCTTGGGGTCTGCAGCTTCTGCACAGAAGGGCTGGTGTGGCCTGAGCAGCTCCTCTAGTCCTCAGGACGCCTGTAAGCCAGGGCCGCCYGGGACCCAGGGAGCCAGGCGGACCGCCCAGGAAGAAAGCCAGCTGGGACCCTCAAGCCCAGCCCCACACAAGCAAGTTCTGGCCCGAGACCTCGGGCAGGAGAAGAGGCCACCCTCGAAAGTCCAGCCATTGTTTGTCTGTCCAGCACAGAGAGGCAGGCAGGAGTGAGGGCCCAAGTGGCCAGCCAGGCCGGGCAGCGGCCCCCGAGGAGCAGGCGAGGGCAGGTGTGGCCACCACCCTTAGCCATCTAATCACTTATACATATTCATTTTAGGATAGAAAGAGTGGTAGAGCAGAGCCTGACCCTAAAAAGAAAGCCACATTTAGGGCTATCACCTCCACCCTGGCATCCAGCTTCAAGAGACGTAGGTCCTCCAAAGACACGGTAAGGGGGAGAGCACCCCAGTCCCACGTCGCCAACTCCTCCCTCGCCCCCTGTCTGTCTCCCTCTCCTTCACCATCCCACCCTTGCTCCCACCGCCAGCCCCGGGCCATCTGTGCCTCTGCCCCCGTCAGCCCCGTACCCCAAGTCAGCCCTCTGCCCCCACGTGGGCACTGTCCTTCGGGACTCCTCAGGCCTCTCCCTGCCCTCGCTGTCCTCAGCTTTCCCCATGTGTCTCCACGTTAGTCTGCCCACCCCTCTGCCCATGCCATGACCCACACACCATCCTGAAGCCGTCTCATGTTGTTGGTCAGTCAGTCAGCCTCACCACCCCGCTGCGCCCAGCCGAGAGCCCAGAGCATCATGTCCCAGGTTTCCCTGCCAGGAGGCCACACCACTTCTTTGTGACATCCCTGTTTCTATCGCCTCCCTCAGAGGGCCCTGCCACCCTCACTCCTGCCCTGCAGGGCTCTGGAGGGGGTGGCTGTGATGTCCCCAGACACCTGTCTCACCTGTCTCACCAGAGCCATGCCTGTCGCACCCTCCATGTGGTCTCTGTGTGGGCCGGGGCTGGGGGCCGGGCCTGGGCCAAGCTGGGTGGATGGCTGGGAGCCGGTGTTGGAACTGGCCCCAKCCCAGGGGACTGTCAGGTGGGGAATGGGGCGGGACCAGAGGGTGGCTCCGCCACTGAGCTGAACAGGACACTGCTGGTGAGGCTGCAGCCCCCAGAGGGTCTGAGAGCAGGTAGGGGTAACCCCACAGCCCTGACCTACAGAGCCCAGGATGATACTGAGGTTCCCAGATGGAGACTCTGGAAGGGGACGCTGATAGGCACCTCTGTTCTGACCCCCAGGAATCTCACAGGGCCACTGTCAGAACCAGGCCTTCTGCCTTTTGAACCAAAACTCCTGTCTCCTGCCTTGGGCAGCTTGTCATTGCACTGGAAATGCACTCAGAAAGAAAAAGGCCCACAGCCAGGTGTGGTGGAGCACACCTGTAATCCGAGTGACTCGGGAGTCTGAAGCAGGAGGATCACAAGTTTGAGGCCAACCTCAGCAATTTATGGAGGCCCTAGGCAACTTAGTTTAATAAAAAATTCCAAGTACAAGGGCTGGGGATGTAGCTCAGCAGTAAAGCACCTCTGGGTTCAAGTTGCAGTACAAAGAAAAGAAAAAGGTCCCCAAAGGGACCCTGCCTTACTAGAGGTACCCTGTCCCAGGGAGCCCAGAGGGTCAGCATTACCCTGCAGCCCAGGGGCCAATTTGACCTCCAGTTCACAGGAAGGCCCTCTTACCCATGGGCAGCATCACCCAAAGGGGTTTTATACCCTGGGGAGGAATTGGGATTTTCAGCTCCTACCCCTTATACAGGAAGTGGGGCAGACCTCCAGGACACAGATAGGACTTGGCCCAGAGCAGCCCAAGTCCCAGGGCGAAGTCACCAGGATGCCCCAAGAAGGCGTGGGACGACTGGCTGCTCAGTTCCCTGAGGCAAGGGCTGGGCACAGAGAGGACACATGCATAGTGAGGGTCCCAGGGCTGTGAGCAACTAGAGGTTCCAGCCACTGGTGGCAGCACAGCCCTCAGGGCTGCCTAGGCCAGGGAATGTGGGCAGGACCTATGCTTTAAGATCTGAGCCAGGGTCCCCACTAGGGGGTGCTGTGAAGTGGGAGGGAGAGGACTGTGGGTAGGGGTAATCAGGGAGCAGGATGTCTGCTTGCAGACAGGAGAAACAGCACTTCTTGGGCAAGATGGCCAAAGGGGGGGACACAGAAGTCATGCAGGTGATGGGCCACTTTCAGAGGGTGGCACCGAGTCCCAGCGCCAATGCCTGGAGCTGGCCCAAATACAGATCAAAGCCCTGCATGGTACCTTTCTGGGGACATACTCCTAGTGGAATCCTTGCCTGATCCTGGGCACCAGGGACCGCCCTCTGGGGCCAGCCCTGGCGCCAGGTGGCACCTGGGGCTGGTCCCCTCCTGCAGTGTTGACTATGGGGCACTGCCACTGGGATCTGGGCGGGGTCGGGCAGCCCAGCTCCCACCCTGTCTCTGGAGCTGGGCGTCTGTTCAGAGGGAGGCCTGGGTGGGGGCTCCTGTGGGTGGGTGGGGTCGGTCCAGCTGCTGAGATCCTCTGCCCCTGTCCTGTGGCCGTCCGGGCCAGAGTGGCACTGGGCGCTCAGGGCTGGGATCCCTGGCGGCCAGGGGCCGGCGGGTATTGATTGTTGGTTCTTATTTATAGAGCACCGGGGGTGGACGCGGCGCTTTGCAAAACCAAAAAGACACAGTGCTGCCGCGACGCGCTATTGAGAGGGAGGAGGGCCAGCTGCAGCTGTGTTCCCGTCATAGGGAGAGCTGAGACGCCCCGCCCGCCCTCCTCTGCCCCTCCCCCGCAGACAGACAGACGCGGGACAGCGGCCGGCCACGCAGAGCCCCGGAACACGACGGGGTCGGGGGAGGAGCACCCCCAGCCTCCCCCAGGCCGCGCCTGCCCGCCCGCCGGTCGGCCGGCTGGCCGGTCTACCCTGTCCCGGCCCCGCGCGTGTCCCCGGCATCAGGGCTAACGGCCGCCTTGTCTGTGTATTTCTATTTTGCAGCAGTACCATCCCACTGATATCACGGGCCCGCTCAACCTCTCAGATCCCTCGGTCAGCACCGTGGTGTGAGGCCCCCGGAGGCGCCCACCTGCCCAGTTAGCCCGGCCAAGGACACTGATGAGTCCTGCTGCTCGGGAAGGCCTGAGGGAAGCCCACCCGCCCCAGAGACTGCCCACCCTGGGCCTCCCGTCCGTCCGCCCGCCCTGCTGCCTGGCGGGCAGCCCCTGCTGGATCAAGGTGCGGACTGGAGCGGCTGAGGACAGGCCGAGCTGAGCCGGCTGGGCAGGGCCACAGGGCGCTCCGGCAGAGGCAGGGATCTGCCCTGGGGGCTCTGAGCATTGGGGCGAGGGGCCTAAGTGGCCCCAGGCAGAGGGGCTTGGGGCAGAGATGGCAGCCCCATCCTTACCCCCAGTCACCACCCTAAGCCACAGGGGGGCCCATGGCCCCAGCTGGCTGAGTCTCCCCTCCTCCAGCTTCTGCTCTCTGCAGCCTAACTCCACCCCTCTCCTCTTTTTTGCTGCACCTCCCCCCACACCCCTCCCCCCCACCCCGACCCCATTCGCTGGGCTGGCCCTGCCCTTCCCCACAATTATCCCTGACTCCCCAGCTGGCAGCGTCACCCAGGGGCTTTTGGGGCACCCCGATGCCTCGGGCCTCCTTCAGACTCAGGGTTGAGCCTTCTGTTGACCTGCAGCCCACGGTGGGCCCCAGATGCTGGCTCCTACAATCTTCTACCCTGCTCCGCACCTAGGGCACAGGGAGCGCCACCAGCCTGCCCTCCCCTTCGCTTCGGGTGTGTCACGCGCCTGCCACCATGTACAGACCAGCCTTCCTAGTGTCTGAGCGCGTGTCTTTTCCCTGTGTGGCCCGTGCGCAGTTGCGCGCTGCCCCTCTGCCCCAGGGGCCCCGGTGTGCCCCTCGCCGTGTGCAGTGGTGATGCCTAAAGGAATGTCACGAAACTTTCGGTCTGTGTCGCTTGTTTGTCACCAGCAGGGTGTGAAGGAAGGACACGGGGTTGGGCAGTTTCTAGGGCTCCGGGCAGTGTGGGAGCGCCTGGGGCAACAGCTGCGCCCTCAGGCTTGGGCAGATGCGGCGGTGGGGCTCACAGGGTTTTCGGGGGAGGCAGTGCCGTCGGGGGCGGGATCCGGCGGTCTCCTAGGCGGGCGGCGGGCGGCGGTACGGCAGCGGCGGCGGCGGCGTGCAYGGCAGGCGGTGAGCACGGAGCCCAGCGCCAGGCAGGTGGCCAGGCTGGCGAGGAAGGAGACAGGGCCAAGTGCGTAGACCACCGCCAGGTCCCGCGCTGCTAGTGGCTGCGCGCAGTGTCTGAAGGCGGCGTCGGGAAAGGYGGTCAGGGGGCTGAGCGTCTGGCGTCCTGGTGATACGCAAAGCAGGGTTTCGGCTTCTGCGGGATACAGGCGCGGCGTCAGGTGGGCGGCAGCCACAACCCGGCCCTGCGTGATACGGCCTGAGCCCCGGGCGGACAGCTCACCTGACGCCGGCCGTGGGTGCTTACGAAGCCAGGCGCAGAGCGAGCGCAGCGCGCACCCGCAGGCCCACGGATTACCGCGCAGGCGCAACGCATCGAGGGCTGGCAGGCCGGCCAGCAGGTCATGCGAGATCGCTGTAAGCGCGTTGTCCTGCAGGCTGAGCGCGCGCAGCAGAGGGAGCGCGCCCAGCGCCGAAGGCTCCAGGAGCGCTAACCGGTTGTCGGCCAGCGAGAGGGAACGCAGCGCCCGTAGCGGCGCGAAGGTGCCGGGCGCCAGCGCTTCCAGCTGATTGTCGCTCAGGTCCAGCCGCTGCAGCACACTCAGGCCCCAGAAAGCCCGTGCGTGCACCGAGCGCAGCCCGTTCTCGCGCAGGTCCAGGTACAGCAGAGCGCCCGCGCCCGCGAAGGCTCCCGGAGGCAGCGCACGCACGCGGTTGTGATCCAACAGCAGCGTGCGCACGCGCCGGCTCAGGCCCGCCGGCACCGCGACTAGCACGAGTGCTGAGCAGTTGGCCTGGCCGCCGGGCGCGCAGGCGCACGCCTTGGGGCAGTCGGGAGCGTCCGGGGTCCCGCGGGTGGCCGCCCCAGTGGACACTTGGGCCCAGATTGGCCGCATCGGCGGCGGCGGTAGCAGCAACAGCAACAGCAGCAGGGACAGTAGCGGCGGAGGCCGCGAGATAAAAGAGGAGCCCCGCATGGGGGCAGCTCCAGAACCCAAGGTGGGGGCCCTGCTGTCTGTGCGTCCTTGGAGCCCGGGCGTCCCAGAAGCTCGTCCTTTTGGCTCCTACACAAATGTTAACTGTCCGGCCGGATCACTGGCAGTTCTTGTCCCACGGCTGATCCCGCGCCTGGGGCGGGGGCCGGGCACAGAGCCAACGCCTGGCATTGTCAGCCACCTGTCCCAGAGCTTCAGGGTCTTGGCTCTGTGCCGGCCGCGGCACTAAGGAGACCACCGGACGCTCAGCTGTGGATTGAGCAGGACCACACCTACTCGCACCCACCAAACGCGCTAAATGGCAGAACCCAGTGCATCCTGCTCCACTCCGTGTCCGCTCCATTCTGGCTCAGCAAAAAGGGCCCCAGGTAAAGAATGAGAAGTCCCCCGCCCCACCTCTGTGATGGATGAGTGGGCAGGGCAGGAGCACATGATAGGGCCTTGAGCTCAGGGGACAAACTTTGAGGGGGAGGAAGACTGCACACCAGAGGCAGGGGAGGTGGTGCAGGAGGGGAGTGGGTGCCTCCACTCCTTAGAACCTCAAGGGGGCACTGTGAGTGGCGAGGGGCACCAGCAGGAATCCTGCCTCAGAAGCAGCTCTCTTTAGAGTTTCGGGGTTTTCTTGGGTCGACAGGGGCCCATGGTGGGTTCCTGCTGGCTTCGGGGAAGAAGCAGCAGGAAGCTTCAGGGAGGGGGCTGGGCTGGCCAGCTGTGCCAGAAGGTGGAAGCACCAGGGGGGTGGTTCCCTGCCCCATAACCGAATGTATACACACCACAGTGCAGTCTCCAGGCACCTTAGGAGCTTGCAAGGAGGACAGCACACAACCACTAAATAATGTTTAATTCCCCTGCCCAATTGCCCTCCACCCTATTCAGGGGGTGGGGGTGGGGGCGGCTCCTCTAGAGTAGCCTCCATGGGGATGGTCATGAGGCCATGGTCCTCCAGTGATGGCATCATGGAAACCTCCAGTTCAGGGTCCATAAGGTGGGACTCCACGTGCACTGCATGCAGGTCCATTCGATCTTCCTGGACCCCGAAGTGCCCCACCAACCTGCACGATGTGGGCCCAGTCAGCAGGGGCTGGCGGGGCCTTGGCCACCCTGGGAAGGCCAGCCCTTGGGGACAGTGCTCTGTGTCCCTGTGACCGCACTTCCAGTGAGGCACAGGTCACCCCTGGGGCCCTCCTGCGGCACTCACCTGTTGTCCACATGTCTGGTGCTTGGTTCACTGTAGGGATGAAGGTAAGCATGAATACTGCAGCAGTGCGCTGGCCCCTCCCAGGCACACTCCGCCAGGGAGCGCCATTCCCAGACCCTCATGACACCCTACCCAAGGGGTGGAGGCCCTGGAGGCTTGGCCTCACTCCCATTGCTCCCAAGCCTGGGGCTCACGCACCCCTTGGCTCGAAGGACTCCAAGTGCCACAACCATGAGGGCGCAGAAGCAGCTAGCGCTGACTCCTGCCAGCACCACAATGAGAGCGATGAGGGCCTCGCGGCTGAGGCCCAGGCTGCAGTCACAGTAGGTTCCAGCTGCAGAGACAGGGCCACAGGGCAAGGCCAGTCACCTGCCTGCAGGGGATTTCTAGCCCACCCTCACCCAGAGGCCACCAGAAGGACATAGGCAGGTTGGCCCTGCCTGCAAAAGGGAGGGGCTATGGCTGGGGGCCGAAGGCAGGAAGAGGCACCTGCAGCAGGGATGAGCAAAAGGGACAGACATATCAGGCCCAGGGGGCTGCCAGCCAGGCAGCAGTCAGGTTGGGGACAGGGGGCCATGTCCAGCCCCCAGCCCCACGGCACACCTGTGGACAGAACTTGTCGGAAGGCTCTGACCTCACAGTGGGGCTGTGAGGCAGGGAAGGTGGGGGCAGGGCCTCAGCATCCAGGCTGGCACCTGGATTCAAGGAGTCTTAGTAAGGGGCAGGTAGGGAGGAGCCCTGGCCAGATCAGAGGCAGGCAATGGTGGGGCTGCGGCCTTGGTGGTACCAACCGACCTGCACAGTGAAGGGGGGTGTGGTCTGATGTCAGCCTCTGGTGTTCAGGGGCCTTGGTTCCTTTTGTCAACACAAGGACTGCAGGGCTGGGTGGGCCTGAGCCCTAGGCAGCTGCAGGTCACTGCTGCACAGGGCTGGGGCAGGAAGGGGCCAAGGAGGACTGCCTTCATCTGCCTTTATTGGCTGTTCAGGAGAGGGTTGGGCCTACACTGCCAGCAAAGCCAGGTCAGGAGGGCTGCTGGTTCCTCCAAGGGATGGATCCCCAATCACCCAGGAGAGGTTGACAGGGGGCCCTAGACACACCTGCCCAAGCAGGACCTCAGGCCATGATTCCCTCTGGGGGCAAGTGGTCAAAAATGGTTGCAAGTCTAAATGTCACTGAAGTTAGAGACTGCTGCCTAGGTGTCTATTCCCTCTGAGACCAGGCAGTCACTGCTCAAGGCAGCTTGTCACCTTGGGCTGGCATTGTTAAACCTCCCCCTCCTCTCTGAACCTGTGGTTCCAAGGTGGGATGSAGAGTAGCCCCACCCTGCCACCACACCCACCCCTCCCCTAAGGACCTGCCAAGCAAACCACAAGACAGCAAGAGGAAATGCCCGAACTGTGGTTGACCAGGGTGGGGCCTCCTACCAGCTGGGCCCCACAGGGATCAGGGGAAGGGCACAGCCTGACTCCATGGCTCTGATCACTGGGGGTCCTGTCTGACTGCCGGTAAGGTGTTCTCCTTTTGGGTCAGCACTGCACAGGTCAGCAGCTCCTGGTGAGGCTGTGACCCACAACTCTCAGAGATCTCCAGGACACACCCTGGAGATAAATGCAAAGGCACACAAGAGCAGGGGCGTGTCAGAGGCCAAGGCTGGCACAGCCACCCTGCCAGGCCAGCCTAACAGGTTTGCATCCTGGTTACATGCCCCCCCCCCCCCGGGGGGGCAAGTGGTAACCAGGGACAGCAGGGCCCAGGGAGGGCCACCTGGTGGAGAAAATGGTGGGTGTCACAGCTTTCAGGTGTCTGCTTCCACCAGAACTCATGTAGTGGCAATGACACAAGGGCAGTCGTGGAGTGGAGGGGAGCAGGTAGGGGAACCCAAGAGAGCAGACCATTCATGCTGTGGCCACGCCTGTGGGGCATTGGGAATCCTCAGACCATTGCTGAGACTGTGTCTAGCTTGTACTGCTTCCTGCTCCAATGCTCTAGAATAAGAGGGTGAGGGAAGTGCCATTCAGGACCCCAATGCAGAATAGGCCAGAGCTGGAACTGTGGGAAGATAGCTCTGCACCCCAGGACAGTGGACATGAGGGGTCCAGGAAGGGTGTCTGGAACAGTGGCAGCGACAGAGCTAAAGCTGGGTGTGGCTCATGGTCTGGGCATGCACCCTGGGCAGGAGCAGAACAGAGGCAGTGGTTCCAAAGGGCCTTTGTCACCTGAGGACAGGCCTTGGAACAGAGCACTGCCTACCTGGGAACAGCAGCTCTGGGGCTGGGACACCCTGCTCAGTTTGGAAGTGTCTCAGGCCAGCCTAGACCCAAGGGATGAGGACAGTGCTGGGACCTCTCCCTACCTGGCCTCTTGGACAGAGACTGCCAAGAGTGGCTGGTCCCTGATGTGAGGGGAAGGAGAGGGCTGGCCCATGGTGCTTTYCTCTCCCTGTGCCTGGCCCATACTTGGGATCTCAAGTTTGGGGGACATGGAAGTAACTGCCTGAGAACACATTCACTCATGAGCTCTAAGCACAGTGGCCATACCACTCCAGTGTGGGGCAGGTGGACAAATGGCTGATCTCAGGCCACTAGGTTGTGTCCTCATGCAGCCCTTCAAAGTTGGAGTGCACAGACTTCTTCAGGCCACCTTGCAATTCAGGTTCTACGGAGTTTCCAAGCCCCAGCAACACCAGCTGCAGAGCCAGACAGACTGCAGAATGGGGGCCCCAAGGGCTCCTTCCAAAGGACGGTGGAGAGGGAGGCTGAGGTGTGGCAGGTGGCTGGCTGCAAAGCAGGGCACTCCTAGGCAGCCCGTCCTCGCTCACTCCTGCTGGAGATACATGCCCCAGAGGTGAACATGTGCAGGCTGACTGCCCAGGGCTTAGACCCCAACAGATGTGCGGGTCTGGGATGGACCTCACCTATTGCTGGGCTCTAGGGCCAAGGAGGAGTGGCCAATCCAGAGGGAAAATCTGGACATGTCCATGGGTTCACAAAGCCAGCAGGACACTGAAGGATAAGAACTGACCTACTTTAATCTGCATTTGGAGGGGGTGGGGCTGGAAGGAGCTGGGCAGGAGCGGGAGTCCTATTCATCCTGGGGTCATACTCAGCTGGGGGGTGTCCCAAGCCTGGGCCTGGCAGGCAGCATCAGCTGCAGCTCTTGGGCAGGCGGTAGACACCGGCCGAGTAGATGAGCTGCTGGTCACGCACTTTCTTCTGCAGGTAGCCCTGGAGCTCCTGCAGGTCAATCTCCGCCAGTGCGGGGCCGGTCATCACAAACATCCGCAGCATGCTGTAGATGCGCTCCAAGGACAGGCTCTCCAGGTTGGTCAGCATGGCCTGGATGTAAGTCCAGAAGAGCTGGGGACAGCAGCAAGGTGGTCAGTTGGCCTGCCCACTGGGACTGTACCGCTCCTCCCCAAGCCCACCAAAGGCACGCACCAGCAGTTCCTCCTCTTTCTGGTCAGCCTGGGAGGCCATGCCTGAGTCACTCTCCTCGTCACTGTCTATGAGCACCATGCTGTCACGGTCCTGAGGTCGCTCCTCCTCGATGACAGAGAAGGTGCCAGGAGGCTCCTCGCGCAGCACACCCTGCTGCAGCCACACGGACATGCGCCGCCGCAGCAGTGCCACAGGCATCTTCACCACCTTGCTCAGCTCCTCCAAGGTCCAGATGGCTGTGCACAGTCACAGGCATGCATCCTGACAGCCCAGCATGGCCTCCCAGAGGTCAGCGGGACCCTCAGCAAAGGGAAAGAGTCATTGCCCCATGGCCCAGGACTGCCCCCACTGGTCAAAGTGCCTCACCCCATGGCTGGTTATGACAAAAGCAATGCCTGGCCCTGGCCCCAGGGTGGCAGAGCCAGGGCAGACTGTTGGGACCTGTGGGCTCACCTTGATCCTGGAAGTACAGCAAGACTACTGCCTGCACGGGGGTCACTGCCACAGATAGGGTGCGGTCAGCCAACTCTACATCCATGGTCACCAGGCCCAGGGTGTGTTTCCAGCTAAGGGTTCGCATGGCCTGAGGACAGAGGTCAGCATGCACAGCCTGTAGTCCTGACCAGGCCACAGAACGAGGCTCAGACTGATGGGCCATGCCACCTGGCACATGTGAGAAAGGGGGTCCCTGCCCACACCACTGCTAGCCCTGGCAGGGAGGTGGTCAGCAAGAACAGACTCCCGAGTTCCAGTTTCTAGCTCCTCAGCTACCATAACGTAAGAGCAGGGACCACTGTTATAAGTGACATTGTGCCACCTCAGGACAAAAGTCCACACCCGTCCTCTCAGGACCTTAGAATGTACCCTTCCCTGGCTGGAGTCGGCACCAAGGAGAACCTTTAAGAGGAGATCATGTTAAAGTCAAAGGGAGGATAAGGTCAGGACAGGCACACAGGAGCCAGTGCCTGTAGTGATGTGGCCACAAGCCAGGAAACATCAAGGACTGCAGGCAGACACCAGAAGCAGGGGGTGACTAGGAAGGACATATTCCTACAGGTGCCAGAAAGCGAGACCCTGCCACTGCCTCGATACTGGATTTCGTCTCCAGAACTAAGACAATACATTTCTGTTATTTTAAGCACTCAGTTTGTGATACTTTTACAGCAGTCACAGAAGTGGATCAACTTTGGTACCAGGAAGGGGTGCTGCTGCATGTAACAAATACCTGAAAACAGAAAAGGCTTTGGAATTGGGCCACGGGCAGAGACTGGAAGAGTGGTGGAGTGATGCAGGTAAGAGCTGGGATGCCTTGGAGGTACAAGTGGATAAGAATGATGTTGGTGAAGGCTCAGGAAGGAGCGCTGTAGTTCCTTAGAGAACACAAACGTCAAGAAGGGAAAGCTAGTAGAAATGGAGACCTTAGAAGGTGCTTCTGAGCTGGGCACAGTGGTGCATGCCTTAGATCCCAGTGACTTGGGAGGTTGAAGTGGGAGGATTTGAGTCTGAGGCCAGCTTGGGCAACTCAGTGTGACCTAATCTCAAAATAAAAATCCTTTAAAGTGCTTCTGGTGAAGTTTCAGGTGGAAATGAGAAACATGTTATTGGCAACTGCAGCAAAAATGGCAGAAAATCTGGCTAAACTGTCCTGCTCTGTGATGATAAGTTGGTACACGCCTGAGACTCCCCAGCAGTGTGTGGGAGTGCAGCCTGGTTACTCCTTGTTGCTTACCACAAAATGCACAGGTAGAGGAATAAACTGAGGAAGCAGCTGTCAGGAAAGGGGAAGCAGTACTTGATGACCTGTAGCTCTGAGACAGAACCAGGGTATGGTGGGACAAGTGTCTACTGAAGTCAGGTGTGACTTGTGGGTTGACTGGCCACTGTGGCAGATCAGGAGCAGAAGGGCACTCAGGAAGGTCTATGTATCATGGAGAACATGGTGCTTAAGAACCGGACACCAGCACAAATGCTACAAGCCAGACTGAAACCAACACAAAAGGAAGGGCCACCAAACCACCAGGACGACCAGTCAGATCTGCACTGCTGAGGTGGGCTGCCCTGTAGGCCAAGAGGACAGAGTAGCAGGCATAGTACCAGGCTTTGAGATTCCCTGCAGCCCTTGCTGGGTTTCACTCCTTTGGGACTCATGACCCTTCTCTCGAATTTTTCCTGTTGGGAGTATCTACCCTAGGCTTGTCTCACCAATGTATTTTGGAACCAGGTAACCTCATTTCACAGCTGGACAGGGAATCTGTCCCAGACAGATCAGACTCCCAAGTCACAATTAAATCTCCTGAGATTTACATGCTGAGATTTGGGA